TGTCACCTTACAAAATATATGTCTCGTTAAAACATTGTTTGATAATAACCATATGGGTAAAAAAATTCAAAACGAATGAAAAAGAGTACAGTTATTTTGGAGTATTAAAGATAAATGTCGGCTCATTAAAACCTTGTTAGGAAAACCTAGTGGGATAAAACCTGAATAAGGAAAAAGAATACAGCTACTCCCCCTGATGTTGATCACTAAAAATCTTTGAATCGACACATTCCAATCCGGTGAACCATTTTTTTGAATGTATATATTGGCAGTACTTTTATAAATAAATCAACCAAATTGTCACTTGAACGAATTTTTTTGAATGACATATTACAAAATATCTGTTCCATTAAAACCTTGTTTGATAAAATCTCAATGGGACAAAAAAAATTCAAAACGAATGAAAAAAATATAATTTGTTATAAAAGAAGAAAAAAGGAGAAGTCAATAGACTTCTGTGTTATAATGAGAATCAAAAGTCTTATATTTATAAGGAATGAATAGGGATACATATGATAATTATATTTAGGACTGCAGGGGTATAAAAACTCTAATTTACTTTCCTTTTACAACACTCCCCCTTGAATGACATATTACAAAATATCTGTTTCATTAAAACCTTGTTTGATAAAATCCCAATGGGAAAAAAAAAATTCAAAACGAATGAAAAAGAGTACAGTTATTTTGGAGTATTAAAGATAAATGCAGGCCCATTAAAACCTTGTTAGGAAAACCCAGTAGGATAAAACCTGAATAAGGAAAAAGAATACAGCTACTCCCCCTGATGTTGATCACTGAAAATCTTTGAATCGACACATTCCAATCCCGTGAACCATTTTTTTGAATGTATATGTCGGCAGTGCTTTTATAAATAAATCAGCCAAATTGTCACTTGAACGAATTTTTTTGAATGACATATTACAAAATATCTGTTTCATTAAAACCTTGTTTGATAAAATCCCAATGGGACAAAAAAAAATTCAAAATGAATGAAAAAGAGTACAGTTATTTTGGAGTATTAAAGATAAATGCTGGCTCATTAAAACCTTGTTAGGAAAACCCAGTGAGATAAAACCTGAATAAGGAAAAAGAATACAGCTACTCCCCCTATGTTGATCACTGAAAATCTTTGAATCGACACATTCCAATCCCATGAACCATTTTTTTGAATGTATATGTTGGCTGTGTTTTTATAAATAAATCAGTCAAATTGTCACTTAAACGAATTTTTTTGAATGACATATTACAAAATATTTGTTTCATTAAAATCTTGTTTGATAAAATCCCAATGGGACAAAAAAAAATTCAAAACTAATGAAAAAGAGTACAGTTATTTTGGAGTATTAAAGATAAATGCCGACTCATTAAAACCTTGTTAGGAAAACCCAGTGGGATAAAACCTGAATAAGGAAAAAGAATACAGCTACTCCCCCTGATGTTG